TGCTCAGTGGCCACAGAATGCTGAGTTTCTGTTTGGCAGTGAGGGGGGAGGACGAGGGAGGCAGATGGCAAACCAGGAATGGAGTTTCCTGGAAGATGGCATGTCTGGTGATATTTTGTTGCAGGTTCTGCTTATACAAATAGATTATAAACCTGAGGTAGGGAACTACTGTGTTTTCTTTTTCTTCTGTGAAGTGTGTAGGTGACACTGCATGAATAATAAGAAAAATACGAATTCAGACATGGACAGTTTCAATGAACCATGTCTGGATTCCAGTCCATACATTATGCACAAACAACAACCATTTTTGAAATGCATAACAGCTACAAATTCAGTATTATTGCTTTGTTTAAACATGTCTTTCCTGTCTCCTGAAGGTTCACACCAGCTTTATTTGAAAAGTGTAGTGAGGTCTTAAATGCAATGCCATTTACTTTGGTATTACACAGAGATGAATTGCTTGATTGGATGAATTTAACGGGATGGGAAGGGAATTGTCTGTGTCTTCCTGTGAAGTGTCACGTGCCTCCCACACATCTTTGGCGTGGACGGCTGCACTTGCTTATGAGCTGCACTATGAATCCTACCAGCACATGCTGACTTACTATACTGCATGTCTTCTTCTGTATGCTGTTGGCAAACGAAGGGGAGCTATATGATCCCGTAGGATCAGCTTGCATATTGCACACTAACATAGCCAAAACGGTGCCCTCCTGATGCTGTTGAACTCCCATCAACCCCAGCCAGCATGGCAAGTAATATGAGAGGGCGGGAGCTGCAGCCAAGCCACATCTGGAAGGCACCAGGCTGGCTAGTCCTGACATAGCCAACAACATTGTTTTGGATATGTCTATTAGGGTTTCCATTGAATTTTGCATTTAATTAAAATATTAAGAACATTTGAAGCATCCGAAGCATATAAAATACTGCAACAATTTTATTGGAGATAGAGCATAATAAGGTTGAATTTCGTGTGGGTGGGTATTGTCTGAACATCTTTAGGGCAGAAGAGATGAATCACACCATTAGGAACAATAACAAAATTTTGCTTTCACACTTCCACACCAAAGGCTTGAATCAAGCCAAGCGAACCACTCCTAATTTCAGTTAATTTTAATGAGAGAAAAGCACACAGCAGAGATATCCATCTGAAGCTAGTGGGAGTTTAAAAGTGCCGGATCGTGCCCTTGATCTTTATGCATGATATTGTCACAAATAACTTCCCCTGTAATATCTTAGAATCCACGTGATGAACTAGGAGAGGCTATTTCCCCCTTTCATTATATCTCCCTGCTTTTGTCTACAGGTGCTTGAAGAGAGAATGAAACTGGAATGCAAATGCCACGGGGTTTCTGGTTCCTGCACAACCAAGACCTGTTGGACTACGCTCCCTAAATTCAGAGAGATTGGATATATTTTGAAAGAAAAATACAACGCCGCCGTGCAGGTGGAAGTGGTGAGAGCCAGCAGGCTTAGGCAGCCCACCTTTCTGAAGATCAAGCAGATCAGAAGTTACCAGAAACCAATGGAAACAGATCTGGTATATATAGATAAGTCACCCAACTACTGCGAAGAAGATGCTTCCACTGGGAGCGTGGGGACACAGGGACGCCTCTGCAACCGCACCTCACCCAGCGCTGATGGGTGTGACATGATGTGCTGTGGGAGGGGCTACAACACCCACCAGTACACCAAAGTTTGGCAGTGTAACTGCAAGTTCCACTGGTGCTGCTTTGTGAAATGCAACACTTGTAGCGAGCGGACAGAGGTGTTCACTTGTAAATAACAGCTAATGTTCCTACTTTTTAAAAGACACAGCCGCCACGTGTTAGAGTGGAACAAGACAACTACAGCATCATTTTGCACATTTAATTTTCTTGGAGGAGGAGGCCAGTCTCTTTCCTATTACTTCTTAATAACACATTCAAGAACGATGCGTTAACTTGCTGACTAGCTGCTTTCACCACATTGGAACCAGGGTCGATGGGATGAATTGTACGGTGACTTCGTTCAGTGCAAGCCAGTTCCTCTGTGGTTCCCCCCTACCCCGCAAAAAACCCTGCAGTCTGGGTTTTGTAGAGTTTTGCTCTTAGATTAAATTATACATATCACAGACAGCGAGTCCAGGAGGTTATTTTCAGATTTATAACGCACACAAATATGTGCAAATAAGACCTTTATCTTATTAAAAAACAAATGAGGAATTTAACTGTACACAGAGAAACCTAAAATCCCAGCAGTGTTGCTGAAAAACTTTTATTTCTAAGAAAAGAAAAGAAACAAAAGCAGGTAAAGGGCAGCTGGTGAGACAATGATGTAAAATAGGGACTAGGGTGGAAGCTCAGCTATTGACTTATTTGTAAAACAAAGGTCAGGACAAAGGACAAAGCTCTGACAGCTGCAGGTGACACTGGAACCTTTTGAATGGACATTTGAAGAAAAAAATATTTTATTTATGTTTTTAATAGCATCAAAACGAATTCTCTAAGCACTAACGGGTAGCTATGTCTTTACTCTGTACTAAATGTAAACTTACTGGAATTCTAACTTTCTGATTTTTATTTCTGTTTTTATTTTGTATTTGGTTCTCCCTATGTCTTCAATGCTACTGATTTCATAGCACTCCACTGTTAGAAAGAGTTCTGTGACTGTACACATCAAACATGGCCTAAGAGCACAAGCAACTGGAGCATGGGAAACAGTGGTTTAAAATGTTAGGAACATGGTTGCTATAGATAACCCAGAATTCAGAAGGGGAGCAGCAGTTTCATCCCTGTACAAACCAAGGCAGCCAAGCTTGTATACTGTCCCTGCTTCCTCATTTCTCACCCCTTGGCTACCTTTTATTGGTTGCAGCCATGTTTGGGGAGACACTTTTTCATGTGTCCACCCCATGCTGCGGCTGGAACAGTTAAGGGTCACCACCACTGCGTAGCACTTGACATGAAAGCATCATTCCCAAGCTTAGCTGGGTAATGGTTTCACATCAAAGAGCCATCAAGTAAACAAATATTAGTGAAGATCAGCATTGGGGATGACAATTTTGTATTAAGGTTCCACTGCCCACATAGTGGCACACTTTCAGGTATCACAGCCATACAGTGGGATGAACCCATGGGAGAAGCTGCCATGTTTAAATGTTACTTAATGATGCACTGGCTTACCTGGGCAGAAGTTCCTGTTTCTGTGTGAAGGCAGAAGTTCTCCTGTGCCTGACCTCCGCACTCTTCACTTGTGCAACAGAGAAAGTCCTTTGGGAGACTCATACATGCAGAGGGCTAAATCAGATGGCCCCTCTTCAGAGGTTTCTGATTCTCTATGTGATGAGGGTGAGTGAGGCTTCTGAGTGCTCTAGCTCCATTCTCATAATCTTCCCCGCTGTTGAGCTGGAGGGTTGACTTCTGCAGTGGTGAGACTTCTCTACTTCTCTAGGCTGTCCATGATCTCCCAGGGTTCTAAATCACAAGTGGAACCTTCTCAGATAGAGCAGACTCCTTACTGTAGATGTATGCTTCCAACTCATGGAGCAAAGAGATTACCGGAGAGAGTCAGCACATTCTCTCCCACTCTTCCTCTTTTGATGAGGAATTAGGACATCCAAACAGGGCTGCTATTCCCACCCTTTATTTTGTGGGTTATGGCTCACAGTTTCAGCCTCTTCAGGCATAGACAACCTAAAGTACTCACTCTATTAAGAGGATGGTGGCAGAGGGAACCCTGGACCCTTTCCATGGGAAGAGGATCTTTATAAGTCTCTGAACATTAGCTGAATGTATGAACTATCTTCACTGAATCGAAAGGATTTTGTCTGAGATGATGATAAACAAGGTTCTGTCTGTGTGACTTTTGCACCACCACTGGCCACGGTTCTTCCCATTCCTCCCAACAGTTGCAATGAATGTGGTTTGGATGTCACCAACGTGACAAGGAAGTGGGTGGAAATTTTTGCTGCAGGAATCCCAGTCGCATTGGCAAATATAAAGTCCATGCCGCCATTTATTCCCACATGCAGTTTGCCACTCAATGCTGTAGTCCATCAAGTTCCCTCTGCTCAGTCCCACTGCCTTGCCTCAGAGGACATCCGTGGGAGCTGTTGTCTAGTGGGCAAAGGCTGAAGGGAGACACCAGGAAAGTGTGGGGCAGGAAATGTCACTTGAATAATTCTGGCAACAGAGGGACACTGTACCATTTCTGTGAATGTGGGGTGGTTTATTATTATTATTATTAATATTATTATTATTGTGAGAATCTTTTGCAAGGAAGGCGCTTTGAAAGCCTCTTGGGGCTATAAAGTGGGCTATAAAGTATTCTAAATATAAATAAATAAGTAAATAAGTAAACAAGAGCCAGCAGTTTTCTCATACATCACCTCAAGCAAATTCCTTTTCAGGAAAGACAAGTCAGACATTTAGCTGTGAGCCATCAACTGTTGCGCAAACCAGTAAGTACATGCATGTGTGATTTGGTCATAAGGGCTTTATAGAGTTAACCTTGCAGCAACATTATTTGGGCAGTTGGATTTTCTTAATGTTTGATAATTTCCAGGTTAGGACAGGTTTTTTCTCTGAAAGGCATTATCATGTTCACACCATGAAGATAATGAAAACAGCAGCTGCTGAATCCCACTTTACCCAATACAGCCAGCTAAGACATGGCCGATGTGTTAACTTGAGTTATTTTTAAATGGCACAGTGAACCGAAGTATGGTTGACAGCATTTAATTACCCTCCCTCTTCCCGAAGAGCCTCTTCATACCACACTTTTAGGGGCACGTCTATAGCCAAAAAGCATGACTGTAGCATGCACATGTTTCCAAGGGTCCTGCTGGTAAACCTGACAAGGAGCTGGGTTTGGCTGCAGCTGCCTCTTAAGTCTGGATGTCCTACAGCGTAATGTATAAAATCAGGGCCAGCCCAGGACATTTTGGCACCTAGGGCAAACCACACAATGGCACAAAAGCAGTAACCCTCCACCAGGGCGGAGAGACCACTGTTGTGGTCGCATGGGGAGAGCTGCTGAGGAAGCAGATCCAGCCTCCAAGGAGCACGCTGCAGCTTTTCCTGTCACTGCAGCAGCAGCAGCAGCAGCAGCAGGCAATGCATTCCTCGGAGGCTGGATCTGCTGCCTCTGTAGATCCTGCCACCCTTGCCTGTGGGTGGGCCGGTCCTGCATAAAATAGCCCTTAGTAAATTTCAAATAAATATTCAGAAATGAGCAAAGCCTTTATTCATGTTCCTTGCAATTGCACCATTGTGTTTCTTTCTGGACCTTTATCTTACATTTTATTGCTTTACATTGTATGGCTGGTTCCCACGTGCCTCTGCATCCACTGAAGAGTGCAACTCTGGCATGTGTGGATCACAGTTCAAAATGTTACAGTTACAACTTTTGTATCACCCAGTGTCATTGCACATGCCTTCGTTTCCACTGACACCCATTTGCATTCAACAGTTCCAAGAGCTAAATAATCAACACGTAGTGAAACACATAGTGCCACATGGGGCATCTGAGCTAGACAGGATCAGGTAGCAGAATAGGTGATAACATTCAGTTTTCAAAAACCTGGTGTGAATCTGCAGCTCCCAGTTATGAAAATGTCCACCACTTGGTTGCAAGCCAGCTGAAAGGCCAATTACATTTTTTTACTGAAAATGAACATGAAATCCAGGTCCCTTCTAGTCTGTGGCAAATTTCAGCCTTGTGAAAGCACCCTTTCTGAATTTATCTCTAAGAGCTTAGTACTTGCAGATGATATAAAAAGAATAAAGAGACTTGGATTGCAAATATTCACCCAAGCTGGTGTTCCTGTCTTGGTATCAGGAAAGATGGATCATGAAGAGCCCGACTTAAAATGCCCAGTGTCCAGTACTGGAAAGAGCCCTGATCCATCTCTAGTTACACAAAGCAACTGCCGGGTCTAGATGAGGATATAGGTCCACAGGTAGCTCACAAGATGCATTTTAAATGTTATTAAATGTTAAGTTTTGACCAGAAGTTCATATCTGAGTGTTGGGGCTTGAAACCCTGCAGTCCCCAGAAATGTGTCCCAGGGACCATAGGAGGGACCATCCAAGAGGGACGCCTGGGAGATTCAGCGCCAGAAGCCTCCTCCCTGCTGCCAAGGCAGTTTGGGAGCATCCCTGAGCATCAGACACTCTCCCATTTCTCCAACATGCCTCCAAACTGCCTTTTTAAACATGCCTCCAAACTTCTTTTTAAAAAGAACAGAGAGCATAAGAGTGCGGTTGCTTGCCAAATAATTTTTATTCATTTTCCAAATTTTTAATAAATCAATACCAAATTGCATCAAATTTAATACAATTTTCCCACTCTCCATCATCAATGTGTTTCTTCATTCTTCTAATTACTGCTTTATATTACATTATTTATTTCCAGTTCACATTCCATTCCTTATATTTAACCTTAAATTCCACACTTTTAAAATTTATATTTTCCTCTCCTTTCACCCTTCTCCCTCAGCTGTCAGTTTATCAATTCCTGCTCGTATAATTTATTATTCTCTTAAAAAACAAAACAGAAAGAAAAGAAAAGAAATGAGGTTACTCTGCCCCTTGCCTCTCCATCTTAAATCATTACTTGTTGTTTTTATATTAATTCTTTCTTTTCATCTTGCTTTTGTATAAATCTGGATCCATCCTTTTCACCGCTGTTCTCCTTCCATCATATCCGTTTCCTGTCCAGAACTGCGGTGTTGTAGAAATCCATATTTTCACCAGCTACACACTCATAATTTCTTTAACCACTGTTCATTGAGGCAAGGCTAATTTAAACTCCAAGGTCCTCATTTGTAATCTTTTCTTCCTTTTAACAGGAGGGGCTCATAAACACATAAAAAGTGATGTGTTTATTACTTTCATTCAGAAACCTCAAGCTCCCAGCAGCTTGTTTATTTCACATCTTCTCTGAAGAGTGCCTTAATTTTATGCCCAATTATCCTCATTTGAAGGAACTTTGCAGCACATGCACAAAAGAGACCAGAGCTTGCAATGGATGAAGTTGCAGTAACCCCGCGTCCTTCCCCCGCGACCTCCATCTCTGACCCCAGCAGGCATTTCCAGATGTCTGTGAGTTCACCCCCCCAACATCATTGGGGGAGCATGCCAGCCCCCACTGCCCCCATCTCCATCCAGGTTCCCCATGAAGCCAGGCGCACCCGGAGAGGTGACTTGCCACACGGCTTCTCAGCCAGAAGTCCCATAAGAGTATTGTTGCTCCTCACTTCCACTTTGCTGTCATGAGCCTGGCAGGGCCCTGGATGAGATGGTGGAGCCATCACTCAGTCCTCTAGGATTACAGTCACAGAGTTGTTGGCATCTCTTGATTGCTCTGACAGTCATCAGATATGAGACCTCGTAGCCTATCTAGCTGTCGAATGCCAAATTTATCCCAACTATCCAAAACAGTCAAACATCAACTACTGAGATCCAGTAAAATGTAGGAGATACTGAAATAAAATATAATAGGATGTCAGCCACAGATACTGAATATTTGACCAACTTTTCAGTATTCAGAGACTATTTAGAGAATATATGATTTAATAATCCAATGAGAGCAAATTCATTGCAGCTCTAGTATGAGCTAAATTCAACAGTAAAGAACATACTTTTCTTCTTTGTGTGTTTTCCATTGATGGTTCATATTGTAAGTTGGCAAGTGAGATAAAGGTGTTTTTTGTTTGTTTGTTTGTTTGTTTTAAATGCCCTAGGCGAGTTTAATTCCAATTTTTAAATAACCATTTGTGGAAATGGCAGCTCCATTTGTGGAGCAGATTTGCTGATGAGTTTCCATATGAGCACCCAAAAAGCCACATACCCCAAATGTCTTTCCAAACATACATGTATCCAATTCCAATTCCACTTCACAATAAATGACTGCAGCTCCTCTGAAACATCACCACCACACAGTTATGCAGATCTCTCAATAAAACTGCAACCCCCCCCCCCTTTGATTCATGAAATTTGATGTGTCCTCCGTGGATATCATATTTTCATATTCAGTCCTATGGCACAACATATTGTAAATATATTAATAGTATTTGTTGAGTACAACTGAGTGATTCAATTAAGTTATATTATTGTATATCATTGAAACGTCTATAGAGTTATTTTAAATTATTTTGAACAACACTGAAACAGTATATGTGTGTGTGTCTATATTATAACATAATGCCCCCTTGAAAATCCTTTTCTCCATACTCAGTTATGCAACTTTTCTAATTAACCATATTAATTCATCCGTGCTCTGACTGTATGAGGAACTCTTCCATGTGCAAGCTGCAATGCACACATTTTCTATTCCTCACCCCACAGATGAACATAGTGGTCCTTATAGGAAGGTGATGCTCACTGTGTGCATCAGGATTCCTGCACCCACTTATAAAACAGTGCATTGATCACATCACCTTAGCACTTCCCATTCCCCTAAGTTCTGATTCGCCAGATGTTTGGGAGTGACCTTCCCCCCCCCGCCAGCAGCCCATGTTTTATGTCATCATCTTGAAGTTTCTTCTGAAAAATTGAGATGAATTCCTAATGTCCAAAGACTTGCTCAAGTGGAGGTGTGTTTTGCAGCCAAGGGCCCATCAGGACTGAGCAATGCCTGCTGACCACAAAGGGGAAAAGAAAGAGAAAACACAATATTGGATGAAAGACGAATTGAAAGCTATGCCAGCCTTGCCTCAAAGGGTGAAGAGATTATGAACTGCTCTTCTGGTGGGAAATAAACTGTAGTTTAGCATCAAAGAGTTTGGGGGAGGGGAGAGAATCCACAACCAATTTTGAATGCTACAAACACAACACTGTGGTTTACAGTAATTAGTAATGGCAGAACTCAAAACACTGTACATTAAAGAATTTGAAAAACAAAATAAAGCCTGAAGATCTGCTTCTTTCTTTGTGATAGTGAAGATTTATGAGAAGAAAACCTCTGGGTGTTAAAATTGATTTGGAAGCAATTCAACACAAACATAAGAAGTTGCCTTTTATCAGATTAAATTATTGGTCCAGCTAGCTAAGTGAAGGAGAAGGGCGGCAATACTGCCACCACTTCTGTGCCACTTCTGCCCCCTGCTCAGGGGGGAACTGACCCAGGAGAGGAGCAGTGGCTGGCTTGCAACTGCACCCTGCTCCTCCCTCTCAGCTGGTCCATGGGTGGCTCTCAGGAGAAGGAGCTGCTGCTGCTGCCACCCCAGCCCCAATGGCTGGGCCAGGCGAGGCTTCCCTCAATGAGACAGCCTGGTTGCGTCCCCTCAAAAAAAATGTGCCTGGGGCTATGGCCCCCCAACCCCCCATACTATCCCACTGATACAGAGACACTGTGGGTACCCCCCTCTGCAGCTGAGTGCTGTGGGCTCACAGCAGCCGTTCATTGTCATTTTTGTTCCCAGGGCATGCCTAGCAGTTATGCCACAGAGCAGTAATGCTCCCAGGCACATGGATTGGGAACTGAATAAATGCTATGAATGATGTTTTTCTGATCATCATAGCTAAGTGACAAATGTAGATGAGAAACACTTGAAAAATCTACAAGCTGACAACGAAGTGTATACTTCTGTCCGCCTCCTACACAGATGGGTTTGGTTTTTCAGGTGTGAACCTCATAAGAATCTCAGAGGGACATTCTGGAGGGCCTGTCTAGTCCAGCATCCTCCTCTCACAGTGGCCCACACTGGTGTTCAGAAGCATACCGTTTCTGGCAGTGGACGTGGAACCCAGCCACCGTGGCTAAGAGCCATTGATAGTCTTGTCCTCCACAAATTTGTTTAATCTTCTTTTAACTCCACCCAGGTTGGTGGCCATGGCTGCCTCCCGTGGGAGCCAGATCCACAGTTTAGCTATGCACTGTGTGAAGAAATACTCTTTTCTCTGTCCTGAATCTTCCAACATCCAGCTTTGTTATGAGAGAGGGAGAAAAATGTTTCTCTGCTTTCTCTATGGCAGGCATAATCTTAAAACTTCTCTCATGTCACCTCCTGCTTGCCTTCTCTGTAGACTAAAAAGTCCCAAACACTGCAACCTTTTCTAATATGGGAGTAACTTCATCTCCTTGATTATTTTGGTTGCTTTTTTCAGAACCTTTTCCAATCCTACAATACAGGGGAGCCATCTCTGCAGAGCTGTGGAGTTGAAG